TCAGAAAGTATGTTGATTTAGCCTGCACTAAGACCTAAGTCCAGATAGAACAAAGAGCTATTGTTTTTTCAGTCCTATGCCATTCCTAGATGGGAACCTTCTTTCAATCAGCCCTCTCTCCAGGCCTTTTTGTGTTAAGGAGATGCAGTTTCTATGGGAGTAGGGATTCCTCCTCCTAATAAGTAGTGAGTTAACCTAAAGGAAAAAAAATAAGTTCAAATATTTTAGCATACTATTAACAAACCCCTATAGAAATATTTGCTATTTGTTTTCTTTTCTCTTGATCTTCAAGATAAAATAAAGAAGGGAGTAATAAGTAGATAAGTAGGAAGAAGAACAAAAGGAAAGACATTAGGTAATACATGATTTCCCCTAAATGGGGTTTCACATCCTGCGAATAAATGTGTTTCTTAGGGCACAGTATTTTATCACAATCTAAAGTTTTAATCTCTTCTAGGACTTTAGACATATTTAGAGCCTGTGTTCTTATTGAAGATAAACAGTTTAATCAATTCACAGCTGGTAAGTGACAGTTGCAGCCCTGAAGTGAACCATTCATTCATTTCTTCACATAATCATGCTACTATCCTGCCCAAGTTCTCCTGTGACTGACTTCACATTGCCCTTAGAACGAAGTCTAAATCCTATGACCAATGATTCAGCCCCAGCCTGCTTCCTTCTGCTCTCTCACCTACACTCCCCTTCCTTCAGTAAGCCCCAGTCATTCTGGCCTTCCTTCTGTTCCTCAGACATGCCAAGCTCTCTCCCTCCCCATAACCTTTCCACAGTCTGTTCCTCTGTCTGGACTGACCTTCTGCTGGACCTTCTCATGACTAATTTCTTCTCATCATTAAAGACTTACCCCTCTTAGAGAGGCATTTTCAGACCTCTGTCCTCACTATAGTATGCTTTATCATGTCATTCGTCTTTGTTTTCTTAGCGCATTAATTCTCATTTATGTACTTGCTTTCTTATTTATTGTCAATCTCATGCCTGGAATGTATGCTCTATGAGAGCAGGAAACTGGTTGGTCTTGTTCACTGCTATATAGCAGTTCCTAGACCCATGCCTGGCATACAGCAGGTGCTTATAATAGTTGTTGAACTAGGCCAGCTGTGTTACAGTGGTAATATAATGCTCCATGATCCTGAGGCAATATGGAAAGGTCCCAAGTTTGCATCCCTAGGTCTCTCTCCGCATGCCAGGTGTACACACATGCCTGTGATCATAGCTGGCTAAGGCTGGGGGTAGAATCCCAGTGTGAAACATGAAAAATATGCTCATAAAGCTGAATGTTAGGTTAATTACAAACATATTAAATATCTACCACATACTGAGTACTAGAGGTTCAGAAAAGAAAATAAAGGAATTCCTACCCATAGAGACTAAAAGCCTGGTGACTTTAGGCAGTTGATTTTTCTACTCTACTACACATTCATTAAATTTTGTTCAGTAACTGACAGATTCCTGGAGATTCAGGTCACCTGATTTCCAAAAATAACTACTTACTCTGATTCCAGATTACTGATTGGTGAAGTGGTCATGCTTCTTGTTTTACCTGAAACAGACCCAATCTTGCTGTGCTGCCATAATTATTGGTAGGATCCCCTTTTTCTCCCAAAGTATCTCAGCTTATATGATAAATTATATGGTCATCATATTCACTGGCCAGTCAATTCATAATAACCCATAAATATTGCTGGTTATAGTGCTTTAACCATATAGACCACATCACTCAAGAAATATGGAAAGTCAAATGATATCACTAGAAGGAAATAATCTGAAAGGTTAAAAATATGAAGAAAGAGAGGGTAGACACAATTCCAATTAGTGAGTCTAGGATTTCCTAGGATATGTGCAATAGTTCATATTGAGAGAGTAAGCAAAGTTCTGTGTAAATATAACACAGGTTGAGAGCTCTTTCTTGTGCCAGAAACTGTTCTGCAAATTTTGCTTATATTTCCTCATAAATACTATTACAACTTTCATTTTACAGATTATGAAACTGAGCCTCAGAGAGGTTAAATAGTTTATCCAAGGCCACATAGCCAGAAAACGAGAAGTTTGGGATCCAAATACATCTCTTAGTTATCTCCTGCCCCAGCCACTATGCCCATTTCCTCTCTAATAGACCAATAATTTGATAAATTGTTTCCCGAGCTGGACCAGCAGATGGTGTGGAGATTAAGGCAAGTGGATCTCATGTGGCTGACAGTGTGGTTTGACTCCCAAGACCCAGCACCTTGAAAAATATGCCAGGCACGTGTGAGGAGAGGAGAATGGAGGAGAAGGGACTGTGGCATGGTCATCTCCCTGTGGGGTGCTCTCTCTCTCTCTCTCTCAGCCTCTATCTCTGGCAAGAGCATGCACCCTAAAGCAAAATGCTAAAAAAAAAATTTCCCAGAGCTAGCAGGTGGTGTGGTGTTTTAAAGGTGCTAAACTCCCACATAGTCAACCATTGTTCAAGTCCTGAACTTGGCAGCTTGATTTCTCACTTTCCCTCTTCTTCTTTCTATCTTTTTTGGTCAAATTGAAAATGATAATGATAAATAAAGTTAAATAATAAAATTTTTAAAAATTCCCAAGCTTAAGTAGGTTTTGGAAACTTAAGTAGGTTAAACTATTAACATTTTCTTAAAAAGTAGGCTATTTTTCTACAGGGCTTTTCACTGTCTGTTTCATATCAAATCCTTGGTAAATTTTTAAAGGGGGATATGAGCACACTGTTTCCCTCACTAATTGGGCCACAGCACCCTTTATCTGAGCAGAAGGCTAATATTTTGCAGAAATGACTTTAGCAAATGCTGTCTAGGAACCCCAGCAGGCCAGCTGCCACCTTCGTGGTAGATCAGCCTCCCTCTGTGTAAACAGACCCACACATGGAGTCCTGGTCAGGATCCTCCTGTGAGGGGCTCCAATTTTCTCAGCTCTGAACATAAGAGGAGACCATTCCTGGATCCCCTAAGCTATATGATCCTAGTCATCCACTAGGGATTTTTTTTCCCCCAGAATCAGCCTATCACCAGAGAGAGCCAAAGAGACAGAAATACATAGGGAGGAGGAGAAAACACTTGTGATGGGGCATGGTCAAGCTGCAGTCTCTTCTCCGTTTAACCATCCTATTGGGATTTGGGGCATACATACACACACATGTGTCCAGTGTGTCTTTCCAGTCTCAGGCTGGGATTCAAATTACAGTGGGTATATGGGATCTAGCTCCTTTATCCACTAGGCCAAGTGATCAGACCCCAATTTTTAAAAATAGTATTTCTCTCTTTTTCTTTAAAAAAATTGCCACAGAGTATGTGACTCACCAGAGGGAGTGAGAAAGAGGGAAAATGAGAAAGTACACCCCATGGGGAATGGTCATGCTACAATCCAGTCTCCTCCTTTTTTCCTCCTCCCAGGACTTTGGGCACGCATGCACACATGCTCAGCACGCCTCTCAAGCCACAAGGTCCAGTGAACAACTGACCATGTGAGATCCAGCCACCCAAACAAAGGCCACAACCTGGCCCTAATTGTGCACGCTCTCTCTCTTTCTCTCTCTCTCTACATATATATATACTTATATTCAGGATTATTTAATTTTATTTATTTATTGTTATTATTTTTAAATTTGACCAGAGAGAGAGAGGGAAACTGAGAAAGCAAGCTACCAGTTCTGGGACTCAATTCTCAGTCGTCCATGTGGAAGTCCAGTACCTTAACCACTATACTACCTGTCAGCCCCTATTTATATCTTTTTTTTAATTGCCAGAGAGCATATGCACACTTGCCAGGGAAAG